AAGGTCAAATGTGGATCTGGGGCACATACCATCTGCCCATGGTTATGTGTGTGTGTCACATGTACCTCTTCTTCCTTTATGAGCTAGCACTAGTAGAGTTTACTCCCACCCAAGAGGACTTCATAGTCCCATAGGTTCTATTGTTTCCTTGACCATAAAAACAAATCACTTATAAAAGCATCAAGTTTGTACTGGTCTTTTTTTTTAAATACATAGATTTATTTAATTTTATGTGTATGAATGTTTTGCTTTTATGTGTATGTGTGTGTGTATGTGTGCGCGCACACCATATGCATGCCTAGTGCCCATGAAAGTCAGAAGAGGACACTGGATCCCTTGGAACTAAAGTTATGGATGGCTGTGAGCCACCATGTGGGTGCCGGGAACTGAATCCAGGTCCTGTGCAAAGCAACAAGTGCTCTGAACTACTGAGTCATCTCTTCAGTTCCATATACTTTTTTTTTTTTTTTTTTTTTTTTGGTTTTTCGAGACAGGGTTTCTCTGTGTAGCTTTGCGCCTCTCCTGGAACTCACTTGGTAGCCCAGGCTGGCCTCGAACTCACAGAGATCTGCCTGGCTCTGCCTCCCGAGTGCTGGGATTAAAGGCGTGCGCCACCACCGCCCGGCCCATATACTTTTAAATTAAGGCTTAAGTACCACCTTTATGAAGCCTTTCCTTCTGTCCAGCTCTCCTTAGTCCTTCAGGTTAACACTGTTCTCTTTGCTTCAGCATACCTCAGGTTTACTTCTGTCACTGTTTTCAAGACATATGATAAGCCTGAAAGGTGCAATCAGTCATCAACTGGGAGCTGATTAAAGACTGGGGCATATCTCATCACACAGTGCCAGAGCCCTAGTACAGTGCCTGACATATGATGGGCACAGAGAGTAACATAAGGATAAGAAAAGAGCAAAGGCTTTTGAGTGAATCTCAAGTTCAAACTGTACTTTCACCATTTAACAGTTGTATGACCCGGGGCAAGCCATGAAATCTCCAAGGCTCAGGCTTTTCTTCCACAAAAGACAGACAAGAGTATCTATTTTTGAGGGCTGCCATACAGATTAAAAGATAGTGTTTACCAGAGCATAATACCTGTTACACAGTAAAGAGTTCAATAAGCAGTGTTCAATACTCTATTATTATTGTAACATAAGAAGTTGCACATTATACACAAACCTGCTTCCTCATCTGCTAAATGACAGATCTGAGAAGCTGAACACACTGAATATGCTGTCTGACACATATAGAACAAGACAACAGTAGCTATAAGAATATTATTGAACTAAATTTGCTATCCCTGGATTTAAAAAAAAATCCAAAGGATTCAAGATTCTCTGGTTCTAATTAAAGAACAAAATTAATTAACTGTGCCACTGCTGTAATAGTGGCACAGACATTGTGGGAGTGGCCAATCGTTTTCTGACTGTGTTTAAAACCCACTCCGCAAGATGGAACCAAGCCTGGCACTGCTTGGGTGGCCAAGAACCTGAGACTGGATAGGCCATGGGCCCAGGAGAAAACCAAATAAAATGATTCTTTTGCTAAAGGAACATAGCAACAAAAAGACTCCTGAGGACATGTGGATCAGTGCCTTGCTCAGCCACCATCCTAGAAGCTTCCTCTTGGAGTAGGCGGGAACTAGCAGAGACCCACAACTGAACAATGTGCAGAGTGAGGGACTTTGGAACACTTAGCCCTTAATGGGGCATCTTCATCAAATATCTCTCTTCGGGGTTTGGAGGCTATTCGGGAAAGGAAAGATTTTAGGAGCCAGAGGGGATGGGCGACACCAAGGAAACCGTGTCTTCTTGACACAACAGGACTGATGTTCACAGGAACTTCCAGACTGTGGCAACACTCACAGGACTTGCACACACATTCAAGTTTGGCAGAGCCCTCCCCGCACTGCAAGGGGGAAGCAGGCACGGTTCTCCATCCCTAGAGAAGAAGTTATCTCCAACTGACATCCATTGCAAAGGAAAAGTTAGTTTTCTCCAGTGGAGTCTGACTGGGTACATTAACCACATTCAAGGGTATTTTCTAATGTCTGTCTTTGTACAAGCCTTGTTATATTCTGTGAGACACACTGGGGGAGATCACATGTACCAAAGCACTTCTAGAAAGAATTTGTACCATTGATTTAAGTTATAAATGGAATAGACATCTTCTAATAAAACCATCTTTTTACTTGAAAGAATAACAGAAAGACTGTGGTTATTCAGACTTGATTATATATTTGGCACTTTCTCCAAAAGAAGAGACCTGTTAGCTCAAAGAAAACAATGAGCAATATATGTTACCAGTTAGAAAATGAAATTTTTAAGTAAAAACTAGCAAATTGGAAAAGTATTCACCATTTGCGTGACAAAAATTCAAGTACTTTTCTGATATTAGTAATAGTTTTGAATGTTATTTTTGATATTTTTAAATAAAACATATGAGTTTTTAGCAGATGTATGTATCTTGGAATTAGTATTTCCCAAATGTTCAAATAAATGATCTTCCAATATAATGGATGAAAAGAGCCATTCAAAGGGCTTGACAGATGAGCAGATTTTAATGCAACAGACACACAGAAAGTCTGTGAGTCTTCACACCACAACTAACTTGTAAAAATTACTACTTGTCAATCAGTGCTTAGTATAACAGTAAAGAATAACCACAAAAAGTATTTAGAAAGGTCACTACTCTATTGTTGGAACACAGTCCAAGAATGGAGTCATGTGACCTCAGTTTCCTCAAAACACAGAGTTGTTCTTGCAATGTGGTTTTGTGCTCTCCCCAGGTGCAGCGGACAGGAGCGAGTTGACTTCAGCTGTTGTTATTCATACGCCTCTATGGAAAAACATGTCTTGCCACATGTGGCTTGTTCTTGTGATTGAACACCTTACTCATCTGACTCTTCTTAACCCTCAGAGTACAAATTGTCTGATTCTCTGAATAAAGCTGCCTAACACATGAGACTTTCGTCCACCTCATTTTTAGGCCCTTTTCTCTCAGGTTCATGCTGCCAGCTACAGCAGTAACATTCTATCACTCTTTACTCCAAAAATCTGTGTGACCCTTCAACAAAACCCACATCACTGAATGCAGAAGCAGAAATAAGAATCTAGCTGGAATATAGCTCTGTGGTAGAGTGCATATTTATTAACTTGTATGAGGCCTTGGGTTCCATCTGTAGTACCAGAGGAAAAGAAAAAGGGGGGAATCCAACTACGAAGAGAGGGAAGGAAGTGAACGGAATCTAGTTATCTTCTTTTTAAAAAATGTATTTAATTTCTTATTATGGTGTGTGTGTGTACATACAGATACAGAATTAGATAGGGAGTGTTCATGGCTACTCTCAATGAAAACCTGAAATGCTTGAAATACTCCAAGCATTCAGACAAATCACAGCACACCAGAAAATGAAGTATCAGATACTAAAAAAAGACATATTTAGCATTTTACTAAACAGAATAGTAAGAAGATGCAGAACATGAACTGTTAAAAATCACATGTAAAGACAAACTGATAAGGATCAAAAAATAAATTTAGAATGACCTAAATAAGGGCTTGACACTGAAGATTTACTTTTAGTGACACTGGATAAGCACAGGAAAAATTTATTTTCAGGACAAAGGACATGATCTGAGGCAGACAATTTCCTACCTACAGACAGATGGAGCCAACATAAGGGGTTAGAGTGATAAGACCAACAATAAAAGGTTAGGCTTAGACAGAAAGACAAAATAAAAAACCCAACACGTACAACCTTCCCTTTATCGGATAGTTTTTAGTAATTTAGGAGTTTAGGAGCGCAAAGCCCCTATCCACCTGGCATTCTCCATTACAACGAACTGACCTCTCCAGCTCCTAGCTGAATACATCCAATATCCCTGACAAGCCCCAGAAAGGCCACTCCACACTTAGGAGAATAGATCCACGTGTGAGGGCAGAGTGGTGGTTTCTAGGTGTGAGGCAGGTAAAATGCAGGTGTGGACAGTGAGAAGTGAAGCACGGGTCTGTGTCACGTGTGAAGGGCAGAGGCTCGCAGCTCTGTTAAAGCTGTTCAGTGATGGGTAGCACTGCTTCAGGCCTAGAAACTGCCCAGCACTTACTCTTAAATCTTGCAAGCATGCTCACTGAGACCACAGCCAGAGCACTTGGTGGGAGTGAAGACACCTGGGATCCAACCTCTACTCTGCCTCTTCATTAGTGACTGGTGACCTTAGGCAGGCCATCTTGCCAGTCCTCTTCCATGAAATAAGTGGGTAACAGCATAAGCAGTTCCTAGACATTTCAAGTAATTTTTGTTGTTCTCCATTCTCTCTACAGGATCCAATATTTTAGAAGAAACTGACTTGCCAATTATTAATTATAAGATTTTAATTGATCAACTATGTCAACTAACCAAAATGTACAACTATACTGTACGCTCCAGACTAGGACATGTGGTCTCAGATAGAGACTACAGTCCCCTGGTCTTTGTCCCCTCCATCAGAGGAGAAGTCTCTAGGACTATTGTTGCTAAACTAATCTGCAAAGATCTTGGACATGACTCCTTCATATAGCAGCTATTTTGGCCATCTTCTGAAGCTGTCAGTGGTGAAGGTATACAACAAGATGCAGTAAAATGGAGAAGAAGACACTGGGCTGCCTCTCCTTCAGGATGGCACTTCTGTCCCTATGCATTCTCCCCAAAAGTCTCACTCCCAGACCCACACACAGTAACTGTGATTCACCTGGGCAGCAGCCCCTGACCCTTGCAGATGGAGGGGCTGTGTGGTCTCTAGAAATAAGGCAGGCAGCTTAGGAAGCTGCATAGTCAGAGAAACTAGCAGCAGCACCAGAACGCATTGATCTAGTCAGGCTTCTGTTTTCTACCTCCACACCCCAAGACTTTCAACAATTCTGCTGAAGACACTTGGAGGCCAGGGAGGGGTCAAGCAGAAGAATGGGATGGAGAGTGGGATCCTACCACAGACTCATGGGCTGGCCACTAGGGGCTCCATACTCACCAAGGAGGCTGCCGGGCAGTGTGAGGGTAGTGTGAAGGAATCCGGAGTGGGTCCACCTCTCTGGCAGTGGCAGGGGGCAACTCTCGATGGGGACTGTTTGCACGAGCCTTCTCCCACTGCTCATGGATAGGTGTGATAATTCCAGATCGGATCCGAGACCGAAGCTCCTCACTATTCTTGTAGGTCCTACGGGAAGAAGACGAGGAGTCAGCTTCCTGCAGTTGGCTGCTAATCTTGTGCACAGTATTCTGGTGGCAGGGGTGGCGGCCCTGAGAACTTTTGGCCTTGCGCTTGGCCTGTTTACTATGGTGGGAACGGGCCGTCCGGCGGACCTGGGTGAGGGGGGCAACAGCCTGGCGCTGTCTCCGAGATTTGGGCCTAACTTTCTTAGGCATCTGAGTTGCCCCTCCTCGTTTACCACCCCATTAGAAAGAGGTGAAGGTAGGGGCACAGGGCCTGGACTGACTGCTCCTCCTTATCCCCACGCCACCCCTCCCTCAGCTTCATTATGTGTTCATCACATGTCATGGGAAGGGTCATGGAAGGCAAAGGCTCAGTGTGAGGATGAACCAGGATCCTGGTCCTGGGGTGGAGGCAGGGTTCTGGAGCTCAGTTCAGCCACATCCTGGGAAGGCTGCCCCTCCTAGGTATCCTTTCTTGCCTGTGAGAAATAAGCAACATGAGCTACAGCAGAGGTGTGGTGGCCAGATGAGACAGCAACAAGTGGGCAGGACTCTAGGCTCCTTAAAAACTGCCATTTTAAAAATGAACCACATTCTGGTCCATAAAGCCAACTCCACACCTGAAGTCCTACAGGGTGTGTTCCCTAGTCATATGGAACCACATTAGAACTTAAAAGAGAAGTCTTTGAACTTGTGGAACTCAAGCACTTCCAGATAATGTAGGGATCAAAGAGAAAAATCTGGACCCATACTGTAGTGATCTGAATGATATGTCCCCATAGTCTCAGGCATTTGAATACTTGGTCCCAGTTGGTGGCACTATTTGGGTAGATTTTGGAGGTGTGGCCCTGCAAGAGGAAGTGTGTTGCTTGGGTGAGTTTCAAAAGCCATGCATCATTCTCAATTTATTCTGATTCCTGCTTGTGGTTTAAGATGTCAGCCTTTAACATCCTGCTCCAGCCTGCTGCTTGCGGCCATGCTTCCTCCCCAGGATGGACCCCTACCCCTCCGGAATCATAAGTCCAAATCAACTCTTCTATAAGGTGCCTTGGTCATGGTGTTTTATCACAGCAACAGAAAAGTAACAAAACATAACCCTCCTCCAGACACCAATACAGTAAAGTCTAGTTACAAAATTTTACAGTCACTTTCAGAAACTCGGGTGGGAACACTCCCTAATCATTTCAGGAAGTCGGTACTAGTCTGATATTGAAACTAGAAAGAGCACAAACTAAACAATTACATACTAGCATTTCTTTACCAACTCAAAACAAAAGCTTTCAACAAAATATTAAAATTGAGCTCAAATTATATTAAAATCATACAATTTGACCAAATAAGATTAATTCTAGGTAAGCAAGGGTGGTTTAATATCCACAAATCAATGTAGCTCACCATTCTAACAAATAAGCAAAAAACATCAGATAATCCTACCAACTGATAAAGCAAAGCCATTTCACAAAACAATATGAGAAATCCACTCATGCTAAAAACTCAGCACTAACAAAGAACTAAGAATATAGGAAACCATCTTCAGCTTGATAAAAAACATCTGCTGTATGCCCTACAATCAATAGTGGGGACAGAATCCTTTGTCCCCTAACTGTGGGAATAAGGCAAGGAAGCTCTCTCTGGCAGCCCTTATTTAACATAACACTGGAAGCTATGGGCACTATAATAAGAGAAAAGAAGAAAATCATAAAGATTAAAAAGTGATCAATGAAACTATTTGCCTATGACAAATTTCCAACGAAAGCCTGCCCCAACGAAATGAAACACCTCAAAACTTCACTCAGTATTAGAGAAATGAAAATTAACGATCCCAAAGAGGTCACTGCACAGTCAACAAATAATATAAAATCAAATGTTAGGACAGATGCACAGAAGTGGTTGCTCATAATGGTAGTGCATGTGAAATGGCAGACACGTCAAAACGAAACCAAAAACGAATTTACCATTGTACTCTGGGGCATTTTCCACAGAGAAATGAAAACCACAACTGCAGAGAAGTCTGTACTCAAATGCTATGGCATCCTTATCCATAATTGCCCCAACGGGACACAGTCTAGTCATTTAACTTGTCCTTTAGCCAGTGAGTGGTAAAATCAATTGTTGTATACACGACATAGAATATACTCAGTGAACAAGAGGAACAAACAGTTAATGTACATTACAGTTTAGATGGATCACAAGAACATTATGCTGAGTGAAAAAGCCAAACTTGAGATTACATATTAATTCTATTTATGTAAAATGTTTGAAATGACAAAATTCTAGAAATGGAGAACAAATTACCAAGAAGCTGAGGCATCCTGGCCTACTTAGCAAGATCCTCACACACACACACACACACACACACACACACACACACACACACACACACACACACACACAGACAAAAGCAGAACAAAACAACAAGGTAACAAAGGGCCAAGCATTGTAGCTCTAGTCTCAGCATTCAGGAGGCAGAGGCAGGGGGATCTTTGAGAGTTTAAAATCAGCCTGGTTTACAAAGTGAGTCCCAGGCCAGCCAGGACTACAGAATGAGACCCTGTTTCATAAAAACCAACCCAAAATAATACAAAACAAAAAGTCAAATGGCACAGCAGCTGCCATGGGCCAGAAGATCTGAGAGCCCATGGCCCAACCAACTCTACACAGATTATGTTCTTACTTAGCACACAGAACACTAGGGACTCTGTTGTTTGTTTTTCTGCCTAAGCTAAGGCGAGACAAGTCTACCTCCTCTTTCCCTTCAATCAGCTATGATATGAGAAGGCATCTATTTCCCTTATGGGTTTTCACTTGTAGAAATCAGTCCTGATTTCAAGAACTACCAACTCCTAAAGCAGAAGTTCTTATAGAATTTCCTGGAAGACTATTCCTTGCAAGAACAAATGTCATTTTGGTAGTGGCTAAAGACAGCCTACTCTACTGTCTGGACACAGAAAGGCCAAGGCAAAGAGGAGTTAGCCAGGGTTACACTCTTAGCTAGCCAGCAAGCACACCGAGGGGCACCAGCTCCTGCTTAGAAGAGGTGGTACTCAACGACTGTTAGAGGAGAATCAGATGGGAGGAAGTGGCTAGGAGCACCACAATGCAGGCTGGAAGCAGAGGGTGAGAAGGAGGCTAGTGCTGAAGAGCTGATCATAGTTAGTTCTCAGAGCCTGTGCTTCCATGAGATGGTTCTTCCTTCATGCATTACTAGGAACACAGCCCATGAGGTCAGGCTTTGATTCCAGCACCACAAAAGGCAAGGGAGAATATACACATAGATATACACACAGACACAGACAGACAGACAGACACACACACACACTTCAAGTCTTAATAAAACAAGAAAATTAAAGTCTAAGAACTATGTTAGTTAGAATGAATTTAAAAATTAATGCAATGGGCACTTTTTAGGTGGATAAAAAAACTAAAAGATCAGCTCTGAAGAACACTGTTGGGACAGGTGCAGAAATCAGAATGTGGACTGCATATTAAACATTGCAACAGTGCTACATTCTTATATTTTTGGTTGTGAGCCTAGCCTTTAACGGCTAAGCTATCCCTCCAGCCCTGGTGCTACATTCTTAAGTGTGATAATTGTTTTAAAGTTAAGGAAGATGACATCCTTATAAGATTGCTAGTCTAAAGAGATGGCTTTAGTGGGGATCTTGAGGGAAGGGTAAAGTACTTGCCACTCAAGTGTGAGGACCCAAATTCAAATGCCCAGAACCCATATAACGCCAGATACAGTAGCATACACCTGCAATCCTAGTGATCCTGTGGCAAAATAGGAAGCAAAGGCAAAACCACGCTTGAAGCTTGTGGGCCACTAGCTGCAGAACAACAGAGACCCTGTCATAAGTGAGGACTTAAACTTGAGGCTGTCCTCTGACTTGCAAACACATATTGTAGAACATGCATGCCAGGTGGTGCTGGCGCACGCCTTTAATCCCAGCACTTGGGAAGCAGAGACAGGCGGATCTCTGTGAGTTCGAGGCCAGCCTGGGCTACAGAGTGAGTTCCAGGACAGGCTCCAAAGCTACACAGAGAAACCCTGTCTCGAAAACAAACAAACAAACAAACAAACAAAAAAGAACAGGCACACATGCAAGCTCACATGAACATACATCACACATGTGCACACACACACACTGTTGTTCCATGCTACAGTATTTAGGGATGAAACTACATAAAGCCTATAAATAATCCTCAGATGGTTCAAGAATAAAAAATACCATAATTTCTTATTGAGCAAAAACAGCAAAATATTAAAAACTGGTTAATCCACTGTGTGTTTTTGCAAACTGTCTCTCTTCTGTAGGTTACAAACTTTAAAAGTTTTCTCCCATAAGCTGGGAGAAAATATGTGGAGAGCATTTACCAGATAAAGGACTGTCACCTAAATTATACAACGAACTCTTAAAACTCAGTAAGAGAATGAACCACCTAAGTTGAAACTGAGCAAAACTGACCTGAACAGCCTCATTAAAGAAGAACTACAGAGAGAAATCAGCCTAAGAAAGACGATCCATATCCTGTCCCCAAAGAGCTGCACTTGGTACAGGGAGACACACTGCTGCACTGCCGAATGCTGACCAGGGTGTGGCAGTGCAGACTCCCTCAGTCACTGCAGCAGGCACGCAGAGCAGTCCAGCCGCATCAGAAAACACCCTGTGTGGACTCCTTTTCCAACCACAACCTCACGGAAGAGGTGACACTATGGAGCCGGCAACAGGATCGATGTTGCTCAGGGACAGTGTGGGAGGGGGAATGAACAGGCAGAACACAAAGGATGCTTACAGTGTGAAACAGTGCCATCTAACACTAAAACCCTGAGTGTGCCCACACTCACATAACGTACAACACTAACAGTGAACCCCAACGTAGAGGTGCTGTGCCCAGGTCGGTCTAGGGCTTGTAACAGATAAACTCTGGCACCAGAGGATGATGGGAACAGTGGGCAGCTGGGAACTAACTTTGGGCTCTAAAATGTTTATTTGGGAACAAAAGCTGGGAGCGGAGAGAAGACTTGATTAAGCATGCTTTCTCTAAGGAACCTATTCTTTTTTTTTTTTTTTTTTGTTTTGTTTTTCGAGACAGGGTTTCTCTGTGTAGCTTTGCGCCTTTCCTGGAACTCGCTTTGGAGACCAGGCTGGCCTCGAACTCACAGAGATCCGCCTGCCTCTGCCTCCCAAGTGCTGGGATTAAAGGCGTGCGCCACCACCGCCCGGCAGGAACCTATTCTTTTTTAGAATGTATTTGTGTGTGTAGTGTGTGTGTGTGTGTGTGTGAGCGCGCGCACGCGTGTGTGCATATGTGCGTATGTGTGCACGCGCGCACCATAGCACGTGTGTGGAGATCAGAGAACAACTCTCTCATGGATCTCTCCTGCCACCTGTGGGATTCAGGGTCAGAACTCAGGCTGTCATGCCTGTGCACAAGCACCTCTACCGGAAAGTGTCACTGCTACCCACGGAGGCACTTGCTGGCCCCCTGAGGACCTATTCTTGACTGAAGCAGTTAGTCTAGACCCAAGTGTGGAGCCACTGCAGCATCTGTGGACTCCTGAATGCATCATTTTACTTCATGGGACATTTTCTATGTAGCCTTGTCTTCAAACAAACAAGAAGAGAACAGAGAACTGACCATGCCTAGGACGCGAGCTCTTTAGTCAACCATACTTGTTCTCTGGGCACTTCCATACCATTCCTCATTTCTCGCTACTGAGTCTCTCTGCCTTTTCTCATGGAAAAGACATCCTTTAGAAGTACCTGTGGAAATCACTCAGGTCTTCTGCATCAATATAATCATCTAAGTTCAGAGTCAAGTCTGCCACCTGCTGTGTGCCATGTTCCTAGAAAAGTGAAAACAGAAAATGAGAGACGGGGGTATAGTTCTCAGTTTACTGGTATACAGGGGAAGGTGGGCAAGGAATTGAGGTACCTGATGAATACATAACCATAACATGGAGCAACATAGAAAAGCAGCCCCAGCTAAGGGCAGGCATCCTGCTCATGAGGGGAACAACCGGGCTGCAGGAGTCACAGCATGGGCACTCTACACTGACAGTACTAATCAGTACCTAAGCCTGGAAGGGGGCAAGCAACAGTGGTTTCTAGAGGTTGCGGTACTGTTTTTGGAAGCCTAGCCTGGAACCTACTTCAATGAGCTATCTCAGTTCTTTTAATCCACTTAAATTAACCTGAAGGAATTAATTGTTTGCAACTAAGAAGCCAGTTCTTAGATAAGAACTGAATGTTCATCAGTAAGGGAAAGGACAGTGGAGTAATATATAGTAATGAAAGAGAATGGTGTCTATCTATCTGTGTTATGTAAAGACCTCTGAAACATATTGAGTAGAAAAAACCCAAGTATGAAAAATACAGCCAGATACTTCCATGAGCACATACAAACCACCAACACAAAATGGAACAGAAAGAAAGTCATCTACCTCAAGGTGCTCACAGTTCAGGGGCAAAATACCAGCATTAAAAGCAGAGCACAAATAAGAACATAAATGCAAGATGTTATGTGTACCAAATGGAAAATAAACAGGCTTGAGAGCTAGCACTTAAGACTTGTCTGGCAGGTAGGGGTGGATAGTCATGACTGAACTTTTTGAATAGATGAACATGAACACACACACACACACACAGAGGCACGGAGACAGACAGACAGACAGAGAGGAAGGGAGAGAGAGAGAAGCACTAAAGGAATGATGGAACAGTGGAGGTATGTATGTGTATGGTGAGATGATAGTCTCCAGAGCAATAAACATGAAATGTAAAGGGCCCAAGTCAGTAAAACCTCTTACTTAAGAAACTAAAAGAGCTGCTGGGACTATAATAGCTTTTATCTCCTGTGTTGTCACTGAGTGAGTATTGCTGTAGACAGGAAATCCCTTTTCTGTATAATACAGGCAGTAAACACCTTTATGTACAAAGCTTTTCTACATCTACTCTGGTTTCTTACCTCAGGAGAAAATGCCCAAAGTGGAATTACTAGATAAAGGCTTTGGGGACATTTCTGAATCCACTGTTGAAATGGGTTTCTAGACAGTCATCTGAATCCCACACCATCAGCAGACCCTGGGCTCAGACTCACCAGCACATTGATGATCATGCCGTTCTCCACAGAGACAGCTTTCAGAAGGAGTTTTTTGGCCCCATCCTTAGACTCATACCGGAGGACATACAGTTCTTTATTGCTGTTCCACGTAGCTGGCAGTAGTTCTGACTTCTTATCACTGGGACCTGGCTGAGAAGACACCAGGGTTGAGAAGAGAAAGACCCTGGCCTCAGAACACAGAACTATAAGGGACCATATTACCCTAACCTAATCCCATCCCTCACGTCATGGGTGTGTGTTCGGGGACACACAACAGGTTAGAGATCTGGGAACCGGTACTCTCACTCAGCTATCCAGCTGCCTTGAAAACACAGCACAGGAGGCGCCTGTCAGGAATCAACAGCCTTGAGCTAGGAATATAGCTAAGTAGCAGAGGGCTTGCCTAGCATTTGTGAGGACCATGTGCTAATTCCCAGAACGACCAAAACTTAAAATCAAAATAACTACAGCCTTGGCTTAATAATCATCTATCATCCCGATAAGAATAAGACCAGTGTGAAATTCAAAGCAGTATACCCCACACTTCAGACCTTGGGCTATCTGTAATAGGATCATAAAATGCCTGAAAGCAAGATCCTAACAGAGACTCTCCAACCAACTGTAGTGGTCTGATAAAAAGCATGAACATACACCCCAAATGTAGCACACAAACAAGATTTAGAAGTTATAAAACAGACACCTATGTAGTCACCACTAGCATAGGAAATTCAGTGTCATCAGCCACTAAAAATTATCACTAAAGCCGTGTACCCCAAGGAATGTCTCTGTCCTCAAGAGCACCCAAAACTGTGGGTTTTTTTGTTTTCTTTTCTTTTCTTTTTGTTTTTTTCAAAACAGGGTTTCTCTGTGTAGTTTTTTTGGTGCCTGTCCTGGATCTCACTCTGTAAACCAGGCTGGCCTCGAACTCACAGAGATCTGCCTGGCTCTGTCTCTCGAGTGCTGGGATTAAAGGCGTGCACCACTTATTATTATTATTATTATTATTACTTTTAATCTTTTTTTTTTTTTTTTTTTTTTTTTTTAAGACAGGGTTTCTCTGTGTAGTTTTGGTGCCTGTCCTGGATCTCACTCATGTAAACAAGGCTGGCCTCGAACTCACAGAGATCTGCCTAGCTCTGCCTCCCCAGTGCTGGGATTAAAGGCGTGTGCCACCACCGCCCTATTATTACTTTACCTTCACACTGCATCACTATATGTGCAGTTATAAAAATATAGTGCTTCGAGGGCTGGAGATGTAGTTTGGCCTGGCTGCTCTTCTATAAGAACCGGTTTGAGCCCCAGCACCCACATGGAGTTACAGGTGCTTTCAACCACCTGTAACTCCAGACCCAATGGATCCAGCACCTTCTTTTGGCCTTAGTGGGTCCCAGACATGCACAAGGTGTACAAGCATACATGCAGACAAAACATTCCCACACATTGAGTTCCAAGGGTGTGCCTCTTCCTCTAAGTTCTGTGCCTGGCTTTTAGATGGGTCCTAGGAATGAGAACTCAGGAACTGGTGCTTACAAGGCAGGCACTTCGCTGATTGAACCATCTTCTTGACCCAACACTTGCCCATTTTACTCAACGTTGTTTTGAGAAGGTGATCCATGTAGATGTATTTTGTAGCTGATCTACATACACAACTGTACAGTATTCCATTAAATGAATATGCTGTGATTTACAAATTCACTGGCTGATGGACATTAGAAGTGCTTCTAATTGATTTCTTTTTCCTTTATAAACAATGCTGCGATGAACACACTGTTGTACACATTTGGCACACATGTGGTATGCCCAGAGGATGAACTTCTATAAGGTAAAAGCAAACTGTACACTAATAGCACTCTACTGTGGGATAATGCTCTTGTACATTGTAAAGACATGTCACTCGAATTGGTTTAATAAAATGCTGAGTGGCCAGTAGCCAGGCATGAAGTATAAGGTAGGGCAACAAAACTTAAGAATTCCGGGAAGAGGAAAGGTAGAGTCAGGAGTCGCCAGCCAGCCACAGAGAAAGCATGAACATGCCACACTCAGAAAAGGTACCAAGCTATGTGGCTAAACATAAATGAGAATTATGGGTTAATTTAAGTGTAAGAGCTACTCAGTGATAAGCCTGAGCTAATGGCCGAACAGTTATAATTAATACAAGCGTCTGTGTGGTAATTTGGGAAGCAGCTGCTTGGGAGTTGTTGACAGAATAGAAACTTCCACCTACAGCACTCAACTTGAAACAAGCGAGCTCCTGGTGCCACACACAGCTTGCAGCACTGCTATACTACTTGTTTGTTTTTGCCAGTCTGGTGGGCTGTAAAATGTATCTTTCTGTGTATTCATTGTAATAGTCTCCTATTTAATAATTCTAAGATTTCCTGGTCTTAGTTATAACTTTTACTGCTATAATAAATCACCATGACCAAAAGCCACTTGGGGGGGGGTTACTTACTTTATTATCTTATTTATTTTTCTACATCACTGTCTATCGTAGAAGGAAGTCAGGGTGGGAACTCAAGGCAGAACCCTGGGTGCAGGAACTGAAGCAGAAGCTATGGAGGAACACTGCCTATTGGCTTGCTCAGGTTACTTTTTTATACACCTCAGAACCACCTAAACAGTGAGCTGGACCCTCTCTCCTATATCAACCATTAGTAAAGAAAATGGCCTGTCTACAGACTTAGTTATTTTACAGAGGCATTTCCAAAATTTAGATTCCTCTTCCCATATAGCTCTAGCTTGTGTTAAGTTGACAAAACAAAACAAAACAAAACACTCAACCAACTAGGACATTCCCTTTCATACATTAAAGTATGAGACTAGTTCTTGAGTTATAGTAAAAACAGTGATTTCCAGTGGGGAAGCAAAGTTCTTCAGCTGGACCCCTATAAGAAACACAGTGCCAATGTGAGACAGCCATAACTTAAAGCTTATGAGCAGCCACAGATACTACAGCTAAAAGGAACCACAAATAACCAGCACATAAGGGGGTGCTGGGAAAACAATAAAAAGAGCAGCAAACAGTATAAAAGTTTCTTTTATTAAATTTACTATCAGAGAAGCACAGTTGAAATAATGAGATCTAGGTCACACGCGTCCATCAGCCCATGACTGTGAGTTTGACTGCGCTATAGAGTGACTTTCAGAGACTACTTGTGGGAATTTAAACTTACACAGGCCTCTGATACCATCCAGCTCAGGTTAGCCTAGGAGCCAAGACTCAAATGTCCTCCTAGAAACTGTGCAGACACATGGAAGACTTGATAAGCAATAGGGGGCTTCATCTTAGCCTGGGCTTGAGCAGCCAGAGCAGAGGGAAAATGCAAACTACTCTGACAGCGGTATACAACACGGCAATTAGAAAGAACACTCTAGATCTAATTACAGCATTCTAGAGCAAACTTTATATGTGTGTATGTGTGTTGGGAAAACAATGTGAGAGGCAGAGGACGAGGAGGAATTCCATGAAACACTGTCCTCTGGGACACATCATGGCCACTGTGCTCTTGAACTCACAGCAGATATAGTTACCTACGTAAGATTAAGTAACAAAATGAGCAGTACCCAGCAGGAAGCACAACTGGACTCTGCAGGTGATAAGGGGCGGGGGGGGGGGGTGTTGAGGAACATCTGAAGTAGGGATTTACAGGGAGAGTGGGGGGAACTGGAAAATGGTTTATGGTCCAGTATCATTTATGAAAAAAACTTTAGAAAGCACACATTTACAATGTCAACACAGAGCAACATGACTAGAAGCTGTGTTCATGAGAACGTGGTGGGAGGGAATGGGGCTAGAGATGGAGAACACTGACAAGGACAGTGTCCAGACATGAAGGACTGTACACGCAGGAACAGGGAAAGGCCACCCCTGGTGCTTGGAAATCCACTGGCAGAGGAGTCCTAATGAAACTTGGCTAGGTGGCGATCAAACTGCAGGCCTCAAGCAGAGTGACAGAGTGACGGGAAAACAAAAGTGAAACCACTCCCTTGCCTACAGCGGTGACTTCCGACAGTGTTGTGGATTTTAAGGGTTACTTTGGAAACTGGGGCCATATACCTTATCTGTGTTCTGTCAAGACCTTTGGCTTTCCTCTGCCTCTTCCATGTCCAGCATTTGACCCACCAGCACGCTCTCTTGGTATACAGATAACCTGTTCTGTTCCCCACCTCAACACCTTCGTTCCAGAGCAAGAGAGAATCGCTGGGGTCAGGTAAAGCTGATGCCTCACCATGGTAAGACTGGTGTTCCCCAGAAAACAGAAGTGGCACACACCCAACACATCATGTGGCCACCCTCTGCGCTCTGATAGAAAATATCAAGTGTCCCAGAAGGCCATGGTTGGCAAGTGACCAAGGCATGTTTGTATAATTTAACTCCCTCAGATGAAAACTCTAAGGCCCAAGAGGAGCAGAGACCTGTTAAAGGGCAGTGCAGGGCAGGCTGGAGTCCTAAGAAGGTAAGGGTAACTGCCATCTTAGGCGAAATCCTGAGGCTAGAAACCTCCTTTAATGGCCACTGAGCTCACCCCAGTGCCAATGGGCTAGAATGCAACCAACCAACCAACCAACCAAATAAAACCACACACACACAAACAGGCCATTTTCTCTTTCTTCATAATCTTCAGACTCCTACAACAGAAAGCCAAATTCCATGTCTATGGCCATTTCATGCCCCTGTCACTAAGTCACCTCACATAGCTACAGAGCTCTTACGGAGAGTAGCCCTGACCTCAATAAGGAGACCAAACCAATGTCAGATTGCTGTTCAAGTTAAGGGATCTGTTGGTCTTCAAATCAAATATTATATGCACAGCTCTACAGTGCTAGAGACGAAACCAAAGAGGAAGCGGACAATACAGCTTTCTATTTAACTGCTGAGTCCTATGACATAGTCAAGAACAGTACTGTGTTTCCCTATTCCCCACCGCGCCGCCCCCTCTAGAGGCAGGAGGTGGCTAGAGAGACAAAACAATTACCCTCGGAGTCTGGCAAGCATTACTGGTTTGCTGGCCCCAGGCTGGAAAATAAAATTCTCTACTAGATAAATCAACAGGAAAGATGCCTCTCAAATTCTTTTGGCTTCTACTCTGAATGAGAATACACCCATCCATCTGCAGTGAGTGGACAAGTGCAACCTGAGCCCTGAAAGGACTTTAGGAGAGGGGGCAGCAAGAAAAACTCAGCATGCTAGTCTGAAACCCAAACACTATGCCACCTCTAAGGGCATGCAGGATTTAGTACTGAGGTAGACAGAGGCTCAGCAGGCAATGCTTTCCAAACCCCCATCCCCCAGGCTCCTTGTCCTTTCAGAAGATGTTTGGATCCTGCATCTTCTAGTCCTGAGAAGCTATTTGAGGTTTGGGAGGGAACAGGGAGAGGAAAAAAAATCAATAAAAATGTTTGTGTATTGCTTCCTTCTGATGAGGATGAAGTGTGAAAGGGGTAGCGTGGTCTGAGTTCTTACTTTTTTTTTTTTTTTTTTTTTTTTTTTGGTTTTTCGAGACAGGGTTTCTCTGTGTAGCTTTGCGCCTTTCCTGGAACTCACTTGGTAGCCCAGGCTGGCCTCGAACTCACAGCGATCCGCCTGGCTCTGCCTCCCGAGTGCTGGGAGAGTTCTTACTTTTATAGGACAGACAGGAATAGAACACCAGCAGGGCCATGCTTGCTCAAGTGCTCAGGCTGTTCAAAGTGTGTTGAAGGAGGAGACTTTAAAGCTGTGTTGGAGAGAAAATGCACTGAGTCTCTAAAGTTTATCTAAGAAGCTAAAAATACGTAGGGGTTTGGGAACTGATGCAGTGAGAAATGAGAGAAAGATTAAAATCCCTCTGTAAGATCCAGGGGGTGAGGGGACCGCCTTTCTGGAACTGGTCTGAATTTTGAGTGCCAAGACAGTAACAAAGAGGGCCAAGCCTGGAGTTCCTGAGTCCCCAAGAATGTATATGTGGGATTGTGGCTGGGAGGAGGTTTCTCTGATGGAGCACGTGAGAAATGAAGGGGCAGTAAGGGGACCAGGGCCAGTTTACCCAAAAACCTGCCATACAGGTAGATTTGAGGGTCATGAGGAAGGGGCAGAGAAAAGGAGAAGGCTAGGACAGAGAATCAGTGATGTATACTGGTCCCATATCGGGCCTCGATGGGGATATCACCAAAGCCCCATCAGTTAAAGAGGCAGAACCTGGAGATGGGAGAGTAGATGGGAATTCTGATGGAAAGAGCTAAGGGAAGAACGCTCACAACCAAGGTGTATGTGTGTAGGTGCTGGGTAGGTGCAGAACCTAGGTGCTGTTTCCAGAAGCCTGGGCTATAGATGAGTAGTGAGTGGGCTGAGGCTGGTCCATCGTGTTGAGTGGTGAAGAAGGGGTCCTAGAATATGGCTGAGTAGGTCAAAGTTCACAGCCACACCAGTGCTTGGGACCAGACGTCTGGGGGTTGACTTGAGTTGGGTGTGTAGCATTGAGTATTCCACGCCACGACTGTGTGATGAAGATGCTTTAGGGAAGTCGGGTGGATGAGGACTCTGAGGAAGCTACTAGTTAGTCTGTCTCGGCGTCAGATCCACACAACACGGCCTGAGCGCTGGGCTGTGCTGGGACGCCTTTCCGTTCTCGGGTTTACACACACGCTGTGCCAGCTGTTGACACCAGCGCCAGGCGCGCAAAAAGTGCGGCGTCAGAAGCCTGGGGCCCTAGCTTGGCAGAGTCAGGCGAGGCCTCGGGGCCTCTGGTTTCGGACTCCCCTCCACCCAGGCCGGCTCCGCAGCGTACCTGGTCGCCGGTGCCCAAGCCATAGTAGCCGTTTGTCACCACTTCCCAGTGCAGGAAGCAGACGAGCGCGTCCTGTGGGCAGCTGATGGCCGGCGCGGCCGACGCGAAGAGAACCTCCAAGCCCGCCATGGACGCTCGCGGCTTCTGTGGGGAAGGAAGAAAAAGAGCTGCCAGTGCAGCAAGCCGCTCCGCCCAGGAGGAGCGGGACTGCGAGCAGCGGCGACACCTAGAGCGCTCCTTTCGCTTTTAGCTCCGTCCGCACCTGCGCAGAAACACAGAAACCTGTGCCGGAAATAGCTCCTAGCTTTGTAGGCGCTCCGGGCTGGAACCGCCCGCACCGTGCTGGAAGGTTCCGCTAGGGAGCACGAAGGCGGGGACGCAGCTTCTCAAAGCCAGATTCTACTTCCGCCTTCAGCCCACCAACCGCTGAGCGTCTGTCAGGCAGTTCCTCCCTGGGAAGAGGCCACCTCGCTGCCAACTACAATAGACTTCTCATCGGCAAAGTGGAGTTTGTACTAGGCTGGGGAAGAACTTAAGCAGGCTGGCTTAGATGTTTTCATAGTAATTTATTAGCATGCCTGTAGTGCTTGCCTGGTAGCACCTTTTTTCTACATGCTAAACTTGGATGCATTTACTGAACTCTCTAGATTATGTCTTTCTTTAAAATTTTCATACATCTAGATTATATCTCATCTAATTTGTATTAGTGACAGTACTATACCACTTTCTAGATTTGGAAACTGTGTCACAGTCAGCCAGTAAGTGGTAGAGATACTCTGGAAAGCTGGTAACTTGGCTTCTAGGATAGCATTTGTCCATGTAGATTGCATGCTGAATCCTATGCCAAAACCTTTACACCCTCTCGCAACAAATTCATGGGGTCTATTCTGTTACCCATCCTCACTTTGCAAGTGACAGAACAGATCAGAGAGTTGTTGGAGCCCGTGAGCGAATGGCCAAATGTCAGTCACTTGTTCACCTATCTCCATCAAGATTTTTACCACCTATTATTTCTCCAAGTTTCTTGAAGTCCATTACTTCTTTGTAGTCAAATAAGAATTTTCCCATTCTGGAACCATGGCCCAAGCCATTGTCATTTTTCACTTGGGTGCCTGGCATCAGCCTTTTCTACTACGCTGTTTTTACCCTGCAACCAGAGAGACTCTGTTAAAACACACAGAAGACCATGTTCTTTAGGTCCAAACCACCTAGAGCTCCCACCACAAAGGAGAAGAGCAGTCTACTCTAGGTCTGCCACCCTCTTACTCCACAGGCCCTACACCTTTCTAATGTCACCTCCAAGTGTCTTTTCACTCCCCTGTTCTCCTGGCTATAATAGCCTGGACTTCCCTCAGCTTCATGCCTAGTTAACAAGCCATAGGTCTTGTCCTGATGGAGCTGTCTAGTTGTTAAAAACAAAAACAAAAACAAAACAGACAAAATCAATCGAGTGTGAAATCTGCCATTTTGGAAGTGCTCAGAGGCCTGCACAAGCCCACAGGAATCATGTGACTCAAGTGAGGGTCTGGAAGGGTTTCTTGGAGAAGGAGATGGCCAACTGCACAGAACTCTCGTGAAAGAATAAGGAAAAAATGCTCCTGTGAAAGGGAACAGGATGTGCAAAGGCACGTGCGTGTGAAATGCAGCTACCCCTGTGTGACTGGAGAATTAACACTGTCTCGTGCTCATCTCTACTCTCTACACTGTGCTCTAGGAGTCGGTGGCATGCCAAGGGGACAGGCGTGCAGCAGAGAAAGCTATCAGCACCAGTACAGTAAGGAGGGAGAATTTTATCACTGAAATAGGTTAGAATTTCTGGTTCATGATAATGATAAAAGGCCGGCTAGACTTTTGGTCAACTTTATTAATGCTTTTAAGTGTTTTCTTCCCCTATTATTGTTTTGGTTTGTTTGTTTTGCAATGCAGCCTCTTACTTTATGAGTAGTCAGCTCTCTCACCCCTACCCTTTCATTCCACACCGCTTTGCATATCATTACTGTGACTTGCAGCACACACACCTCCCTTTTCTTTTATACACCACCGGCTATCCTAGCATGGCTTCTCCCAAAGCCAATGCTGAAGGTATGGTGGCATGTGTCTGTAATCTGTACTTGGGAGAAAGGCAGAGTATAAAGAGCTCAAGGCAAATCTCAGATACATGGTGAGTTCAAGGCCATCCTCTGCTACATAGAAGATCCTGTTGGAAAAAAAGTTCTGAGTGGCTTATTTGGGAGCTGATTCTAGTACCTAGCAGAAGGGGTGGGCTAAAGGAGGTGCTTGAGCAAGGCTCTGTGGGCAGCTGGGGCTCACACTTGCTGGGGAACAGTGAGGGGAAGGTATGAATGATCTCAGAGATGATGTCCCATCTCAAGACTGGGGAACTGTGAGTGTTTCACTCAGATAAGAGCTACTTCTAGAATTATGAAAAACCCTCAGGTAGAGAGTTACAGAATTCAGAGGAAGTGGCTTTGGTGCTTACAGGTGACTGCTGAGATGATCAGGGCATAGCATCTGCTGTTGTACTCCTATCCCCAGCTAATGGTGATCTGTCCCTTAGAAAGTCTGTGTCTCAGCAGTCAATTTGGAAAAGGCATTAGCAAATTGAAAGAATGGAGCTAATCTGTTTCCCGGAACCAGCCTGCAAGGGCATGGCTGTGTTCTACTCACCCTGTCCCCAACTTCTTCCACCCATGGGAACAAGTGAGAAGATTCTCTGTACCAGAAGTTCTCTATGCCTCCCTGGTCCATCCAGAGCTTTCTGTGGACATACCTACATCACCAAGGTCCCAGTCTGCCTGCGAGACCCAGGAGAAGCTGAGACAGGGAGCAGGTGGAAGATGCCTGCCCACCGGGTAGGCCCTGTCTATCTGGGTGGAAAAGGGCCCATGCCAGATAAGGGCAGAGGATGTTAGGAAGGACCGGTTGGTGGCTGTAGCCACCAGTTCCTGGTTGCCAAGTGATAGCAATGTGTACATTCCAAGCTCTGTGCTCCCTTGGAAACTGTTAAGAGATGTGATACAGGGCAGGCAATGGGAGTAATGAGGAGTCTAACCAGCATCCTCCAGCTTCTGCTTCAGCTCAGCCACTCACCATCTCCAGAGGGATCTATATAATAGATGTTGTCTTTTACATCCACCAAATGGCTGAGTAGAAGCTAAGACTTCCCATCCCCCTTGCACTGGGAATACAACAGAGCTGATACTAAGAGAAGACAACTTTCTTTTGAAATATAATTTTAATATAATACTATTAGTCTTTCAAAGATTTTTACTGTGGCCAAACACACAGAGCAGAGTTTATTTGCCATCTTAATCATTTGTAATCACACAATTTAGTGACACTAAAGGCATTCCTATTGTGTAAGCGTCACCACCCTTCAGCTCCAGGCATTTCATTTTGCCAGACTGAAACCCTGTGCTCATTAAACAATAATTTCCCACATCCCCTTCCTTCATTGGGTGGCAGCCGCTGTTCTACTTTCTATCTCTATGAGTTTGACTCTTGTGGACAATACAGCTTTGACATGAGCGTACACATATGACTTCAAAACTCTGCTTTCAATCCTTTAGGGGTTTTAACCTAAAATTGGAATTGCTTAATCATATAACAGTTCCATTTTTAATTACTTTGAGACAGGGTTTCATGTATCCCAGGCTGGCCTTAAGCTCGTTATAGATGACCTTGAACTTCTGATCCCCCTGCCTTCACATCCTGAGTGCTGGAATTACAGGTGTGTGCCACCACACCCAGTTTATGTGATGCTGGAGTTCAGGGCTTGCTGCATGCTAGACAAGCGTTCTACCAAGTAAGCTACATCTCTGTGCCCTATTTTTAAGTTTTTGAGGATCGCCACCTACTGTTTACCAAGGGTCTATACTACTTTTTATTCCAATATGTGGAACATAAAGGTTTCACTCTTACCACATCTGGTCAACATTTTTTGATAGGAGCCACCCTAATGGGAATATTCTTTTCCTAAGATACACATGTAACACAAAATCTAATTTGGTCTTTTAATAAAAAACCCAGAGCCAGATATTGGGGTAAATGCTGAAAGATCAGAGAGACAAAGGAACAAGCCACTGCCACATCTTACCTCTAGGACTCCTCAGCCTGAAAAAGCCTCTAGCCGGAAGACTTTAGTTCCCGTCTCCTCACACCTTATATACCTTTCTCCACCCACCATCTCACTTCCTTCTTAGTGCTGGGATTAAAGGCATGAGTGCTTCTGAAACAAAGGCATGAGATCTCAAGGGCTGGGATTAAAGGTGTGTGCCACCACTGCCTGGCTCTGTTTCTCTCCTAGACTGAATCAATCTCATGTAGCCCATGGTGGCTTTGAACTCACAGAGATCCAGATGGATCTCTGCCTCCAGAGTGCTAGGACTAAAGATGTGTGCCACCACTGCCTGGCATCTATATTTAATCTAGTGGCTTGTACTAGTCTCTGATCTTCAGGCAATTTTTATTCGGGTACATGATATATCACCACACACACAGTGTTAGGTTTCATTATGGCATTCACTGTAGTTTTGATTTGCATTTCCCTCATGCTTTGTGATGCTGAACATCCTCTGGTGTAGCTCTTATTTGGAGAAATGCCCTGGCTTGTTTTCGAATTGCTTTTCAGGATTTTTCCCTGTATGTTTTGAGTGTTATTTCCTTATCAGCTGTATGATTTACAAATATTCCCTCCCCTATAGGTTGCTTTTTTACTCTGATAGTATCTTGTATCTTTCTCTCTCTCCCTCTCCCCCTCTCTTCCTCTCGCCCTCCCTCTTCCTCCTCCCTCCTCCCCGTGTGGGTTGGAGGTCAGAGGATAGCTGCTAGTGTTATTCTTTAAGAACTGTTCACCTTGTTTTTTGAGACAGGGCCTTCGAATGGGAGCTGGGGCTTGCTGACTCAGTAGGCTGACTGGCCGTGACTCCCAGGCATCTGCCTGTCTCTGTCTTTGTCATGCTGTGATTACAACTATACACCACCATACCCGACTTTTTATGCAGATGCTGAGGATCAAACCCAGGTCCCCATGTTTGTGCAGCAGGCACTTTATCAACCTAGCTGTCTCCCCAGCACCTGTTGATAGCATCTTTTTACAAATGTTTTTAAGTTTTCCTGATGTTCATGCTCAGCAGGCTGCTTCTGGAGAGAGGGGCTGTGCTGTGAGCCCAGGGGTGCCACAGCTGGGGCTGTTAGCAGGCTATACTTATTGCTGCTTGACAATGTCTTGCTTGAAGTCCCCATTCTATGGCTGACATGAAATACATAATTCCTTTGTGTC